ACTTCACTCCCATTTTGAAGAGGACACCGATCGATGAGAATTCACAGCTACCAGCAACGGATATCAAAATTAGTGTAGCTAGCTGCAGCGCCCGATAACCCGCTTCAATATTTTATATTTTTCTAAAACTAGTTGCAGGGAGCGGGCGCTACTAGTTAATTATTTTTTCATGCTTCGGACCGTTTTTCCTCGTAAAGCCAAAAAACCGCGGCTAGAGTAACTCACAAAGATATAAATATTTTTATTCCTCGCCGAAACTAAGAAAATATTTGGAAATCTAACAATATAACAGACAAATCGATGCAGATTAATCAGTCTTATCAATGATTTTCCTTCGTAAGTCCTAATTGTAGTAAGCAAAACGTACCCAAATCTAATTGTCTTATTGTTGTTACTGTTATCATAGATACACTGTCCAATTAAATAATCATTTTTTTCCAAAACAATTGTTGGTTTTATCGAAGAATATGTTTGTGCATATTCTAAGAGTTGTGGATTCCCTTTAATAATTACTGATGTCTGATTGCTGCTACTGACACGATATAATGAACTAAGACGACCTACAATGTGTTTTACAAAGAAGATACTTCCAACAAGCAACAAATAACATTCTAACAGCTGTTCAAAAGAAACGAAAATTGTACGACAAACATTTAACACAAAAAGCAGAACAGTATAAAGTAGGAGATTCCGTAGGTATTCAAATTAGTGACGTTGATCCAACAAATATTGATGTTAAACTGCTACCATGTTTAATTCTTTCAAAGGATAAAAAAGACGATGATTTCATTTTTAAAATAGCATGTAAATTTGGTAAAGTTGCGATCGCGTACACGGTTGAAAGCTTGATCGATTTGCGATCCGCATGTCCAACAGATTTAAAACTAAATGAAGTAAGTTCTCTTGGTGAAATAACAGTAATCGAAGCTGCAAAATTATTGGTTCGCGGTGCTGTATCCGGTGTAATATGCGATTGTAAGACTAAATGTGGCACGAAACATTGTCCCTGTAAAAAAGTAGGAGTGGCATGCTCAACAAAATGTCATGTTAAACAGCGTGGATGTTTGAATTCAACTTAATAAAGATTCTGCTTGCTTGCTTTTTTACTTTTAGGATATCTCAAAAAATTCAGTGAAATTATATCAAAAAAATTATAAAAGCTGAAATTTACAAAAATATGCATGTCTTATTTTTTTTTATATTCATATTTCTTCAGCAAATTATAAATGTGGAAAAATTCAAAAAAAATTTATAAAATAAACCCAAAAAGCTTAAGAGAATTAAGAAACGTTTAGTTATTGTGCCCGCGTATAATATATTTCACATAATATATTTTTTCTAAAGGCATTTCTAATTTCGCCCAAATCAGTACAAGTTAACTTATCTCATAATAGACAATTTCTAGCTAAAATTTATAGTTTTTGCCTAGTGAAACCTTTAATTTTAATTTTGGCTTGAGAATGCTAGTCAGATTCTAAATTTGGCTGAACAATCTTCAGCCAAAATTGAAATTTTAATTTTGACCAGCCAAATTTAGAATTTGGCTAGCCAAAATTAAAATCAAGAATCTAATTTTAATTTTCGCTAGCCAAACTTGAAATTTTAATTTTGGCTGAGAATCGTCAGCCAAATTTAAAATTTGAAAATTTAAAATTTGGCTGAATTTTAAGTTTGGCTACAACACATATATAAAAGTATAATAATTCGCCAAAAATCTGAATCTGAACGCGGCTTCTGCCCAAACATTACCTCATATGGTGATGAATTCGTTGATGACATCCGTTTACCTAAAGAATCACAAAGCACACCATTACCTCTTTCTACCAAACCTTGGCTTTGTGGATGTCTTGGTCGACCTCTAATAAAACACATATCACGAAATAACAATTTTAATACAGTGATGACATCGGCGACGAATTCGGCACCATTATTCGAATGTAATAGTTAAGATATCCTAAGATATCCTACGTTTTTCTCAGTGTGTGTTATACAAGTTCAGAAAGATAATATAGGATATAACACAGAACAAACAAGCCTCTCGCCGCGACGTTTTAAAACTCCTCTACTTAGACCGCAACTCAGCGATAAAAATCGCGACGCGACTACGCAAATAATACTGCTTATATATCTGTGATTGTCTCGGCGCCACTCGCCATATCGCGAATCGTGCCGCGATAATATAGCGACCGCGCTAAAAAATATTCACTTTCGTTTTTTTAGCGATCGCGCCGCAACTAAGCAAGTCTTTTGAAGAAAAGCTTGTCGCAGCAAGAGTCGTGGCGCGACTAATCAGAGTACGTCTGTTGAAATTCTCGATCACAAGAGTCGCGAACTCACCGCGGCGACTCTTAAAAATTCCTCTTCTCTCTAGATAAGAATTTTTCAAGATCCTGCCGCGACTTCGCGACTCATAAGCGATCGCGTCGCGACAACGGGAGTTCATAGCGATCGCTTGCGCGACATCGCGTACGCGCCGCGACTAGGGCGCGAAAGTCGACCTGGGAGGGTTTGGCTGCGTAGTAGCTATTTTGCTGGAAAAAACCAAGTGTGTTAACCTCTTAATTTGAACAACTTGAATTTTTTTATCATTAACTTATGATTTCAGCATCGTGAAACTAACATAACTTGTTCAGTTTTTTTCTGCTCGTTCGACTCATGTGTACAGTACGCTACGACACTGCTGTCAGAAATCAATAGAATTCTGTATAAGGCGAAAGTATAGAAAAATTTCGTCCCTTTGTAAAAGAATTATTACCAAAATGTGGCTCAGACATTTTCAAGTATATTTTGTCACAGAACTATCCATCGATTCCATACTTCGAATAGCAGAAAAAAAGTTTTTTCTAAAAACTACCGCAAACGCGTGTGTTTCGCATGGGAATGTTCTAAATAAAAGCACAGAACATGCGAAATGTTCTTATTAAATACGTTATTTAATTCGAGCAAAAACAATGGAAGTTTGAGTACCATTCAAGAATGGTACATCCGTGTTCAAAAAAACGCACATGCTTCCATTCCTCATCGAATTCTGAACAAGTTTTGTCTTAGAAGTATGCTGAAATTCCGTAGACCGGGTAGCAAAAAAAGCTTTTTTTCTCCGTTAGTGAAAAACACGTGTATTTGAATAGACGTGTTCTAATTAAAAGCAAGCCACTCTATCATTCAACTTATTCAAGTTTTCATATTACTTTTATATATGCGCTTGTTTTTTTCTGTTTTCACATCTTTTGAAGGTCACATTGCTCTTTTTCAACTATTCTATATTGAAGAAAAAATAAGAATAGGAAAATGAAACAGAAATCCACATGTGTAAATCTCGCGTGCGTTCACTAAGAAGAAAAAGACTAAACATCACAACAGTCGATCCTTATACCAGTAGTGAACAGAATATATTCCTATTCTTATTTTAACTTGACGAAGTTGAATGATAACTTATAAGTGCACAGAGAGCGAGTTGACAGATGTGAATAGAATGGCTTGTACTTATTTTGAGCTCAAATTCTAACTAATTTTGAGATGTATTGCATCATGTTCCCGAAGCGAAAACCGGGTAAAACATGGTGAAATCAGAATCCTAACTGTCATAAGAAAGTTCATTCAAGTTGAGTTTTCTTGTCCATAAAAGTTGTGTTTTTTAGTGTTCTTGTGGCAAGAAAACGAGCTTTCAAGGGATGAAAAAATAAGATTTTTACCTTTCTTAAGGCCAAGAAAGAAGTATAAAAGAAGTTTTTCGGAGGATTTTTTTTTGTCATTAGAGAATCTTTATGGCGAGACTTGATTGCATTATGTTCTCGAAGAAAAGTCCGAGTAAAACATGATGTAATCAGGGCTGAAAAAGTATATTCGAATATGCAAGACGCGGGGGGCAGATTATGTTTAATCTTTCTTGTACTAAGTCGTTGAACTTTCTGAGAAATGGGCACGGCTTACTTGAAATCATGCGTATAATTTATTGATTCATGGTAAAATCTTCGGTCCTGAGGGAACTGAAAATGAGTTCTTCAGTATTTTAGTTCCCTATGGGATCTTTGATCTTAGCGAAACTCAAAGCGAGAAGCCCATCGTCTGCTCTTTGCTTTTTTGAAGGGCTTGTTTATGGTTCGTCTTTCTTGATACTTATATTTCTTATTATATCTTTACTTTTCTTACTTTGTTTGTATTTGACTTGAGTCATTGTTATTATGAGTCGGGACCTTTAATGACTCTCATTTTTCGTACATACAATAAATTAAATCAGTAAATCTCTGAGAAACTGCAATTATCTAGTTATTGCACGATGTTATCTAGTTATTGCACGACCCGGTGTTTTCTTCGAGAACATAGTGCAAAGGAGTAAAATGTTTAGAATATGTAGCGGTGAGAGTTAGTATGATATAGTACGAGAAAAACTCAAAACTAATTAAATCAAGTTCTTGAAGAAAGGTCCGAATAAAACGTGATGTAATTGACTGTCACTTAGGCAATTATTGGAAAATAGTAAAAAAGTTCTTAGTCTATTATCTCTTTTTAAATTGTTTTTAATCTTAATTCTTAGGCTTTGAAACTTTTTGGGACCTGATACAGCTTGTCTTGATATGACTGAGAGATTTAGCCGTACACGAAGTACCTTGGTGCTGATGTTTTGATGCCTTAAAATACCTTTTAACCCGAAATCTTTTTTTGAGATCGTGCTTCGTTGAGAAAGTCCACGAAAGCGCGGAAAACAATTTTTCTCGTGTATTTTCTCCTGGTCTGTCAGATGCAATTGAAATCAAAGTTTCGAAGTTCTTAATTTGATCGAAAATTAAATTTTAAATTTTTTGAAATTTCCAGTAAAATGAGGATATCTCTGAAGGTGTATGTTTCCACTGACTAAAAGTGTGAAATTTAGATTGAGCACAAAGTTCTGTATAAGATAGTATGATTTATTAATAAGGTTCGGGGAACTCTATTTGAAAAAGTCAAAAGGTAAAATGTTACAAAATTTCTGCAAAAGATATTTTAACAAATATAGATAGAAGAGAATACTTCAGTAAGAATATGTGTGGAATAGCGGTTAAAGCTATTTGCTCGTACAACGAGCCGCAGGTTCAATCCCTGTCCACGTCGTTGGTTTTTTGCCTAGGGAATTTTTTTTTCCATTCATTATTATTATTAGAACTCTTTAGCAATAAAAAGTGGCATAAGAAACGAGAGCAAAGAACGTCTCTTATGCACAAACTAGTCTTTCGTTTCAGTTGTTTCGCGCCATGCTTAATTTTTTAATGAGAGCGTTTGGCGCTGTTTCAAGTCTTTCTAGATTTATTCTACTTTGCTATGACCTATTTATTACATTTTCAGCAATTGCAGCTCATTAAATGTCCTAATTTTGTCAAATTTTACAAATTACTACAGCTACAGGAAAAAATCAGTATAGGTTGAATTTTGCACCAATGAAAAAGCAACAACCTATCCTGTAGAGAAAAACAGTAGGATAGCAACCGTCGAAATTTTATGGAAAAAGGTGGCATTCCTATTAAATGTACAAAGGTTTCAAACTATAGGGATCACGACTACATAGCTAGTTTTTCTACACCGGCCCGTCGGCTCAAGTAGGGTGTTCCTATATGTTTCTATCCTATTCTTTTTTTCTGTCCCCCTTTTACAATTGTAGGTGCTGCCTCAGTTTGGTTTTCAAATATTTTGTTGTTGGCGAGATAACTACAATGTTGTGAAAAGAGTTTCAATCGCGAGCTGTCCTGTATAAAAAGGATTGTAAAACAGTTTTAGTGCGCGCAAATGGGATATAAACTTGTCTGTTATGCTGTAATAGACGATCTGATCTTCAACCCACATCAAACTGTATCAGATCGATGCGGGATAAGAGTGTTAAGCCGTTAAGGGCTTTAGAAAAATACACTAGTCGGAAGTAGTTCCGTCGCACGGAGAGTAAAGGTAATTTTAGTTTTCGACAAAGGCTTTTCCGGGTGTATGAAAATCATGTGTGATTATATGCGCCGCTAATTTTTGTACTGATTCAAGTTGACTTTTCAAATTGGCAAATTTATTATTATGCAGAGCACAGACGTAATCTAGTTTAGCTAATATGCAGGTTTTATCA